GCCCAGATTGAATTTAGGTCAATCTGATGATTACGGATGTCCGGTAGTTTTTGAACTTTATTTATTTTTCAACAAATCTAAATTACTTGAAAGTTTAGGTGTGCATTCTTCTCATCAAGGTGCACTTAAAAAAATATATATATATAAAAAAATTCTTTGAGAAAAGTAAAATGACTAAAATATCCCCCAAAATTTTTCGGGGGTATTTGGTCAATTTATTTATGTAAAATATTTTTTGATATTTTTCAAAGATTCACTTATTTTTGATGAACATATGCCTAAAATTTTAAATGATTTAGATTTGTAAGAAAAAATAAAAATTAAAGCACTATTAGACATCCGTGATGCCAGATCGACCCAAAATCAATCTGGGCTATTGGGCTCATATATGAGCTAGTGGGCTAACCCCAGCTTTTTCCTATTCATATATATATATATAAATATATATATATAAATATATATATATAAATATATATATATAAACATACACGGTTTCTATGTGGGTAGCCTGCGTATTGTTTCATGCGGTCTAGACCGCATGAAACAATTTTCCTTTTTGAGCTATTATACTTTTTATTTCTTTTTTACTAACTGTTAAATTGGTCCGTCCAAAGATTTGACAATTTATATGCAATCTTTGGGTATAATTATCATAAGAGAAATGATCCTATAGGACCCTCCTCCACCCATGTGTATAGGACCCCAAAGGATCACCATTAAATTTGGTACAGATATCTAGAAAAGTAAGTCCCACATCTATGTGATAAATTTTTTACAGATCTGTGTCAAATTTAATGCTGATCTTTTGAAGTCCTACACACATGCATACATGAGTGGGGGAGAGTCATATATGATCATTACTGTTATCATAATTTTATTTCTCAATGCATTAATACATTTTTACCCAAAATATTGGGATTCTAAATGACTATAGGTAGGGTTTTGTTTGACAGATAAAATGAAAATTTTGCTCCAACAAGACCATAATCTCTTTTCGAATTTTTGCAAGTAGCACATGTGCCCAGCAATCAGGGGTGGCAACGGGTCTTGTACAAGTCCCAATTGAACTTGGACCCGAATTATATTCGAGTGCAGGTTTTGAGCTTGGACCCAACCTTTTGGGTCTAAAATTTGGACCCATACCCGGACCCGAGGTTGGGTCTATCCATCAGGTCCCGGGTCTAGTAGAGCCCATTGCCACCATATACCCATATTATTGACAACATTTATGAATACCAATATTCATCACTATTTTACAAAATAACTAGAAATTCTTCAAAAAACAATTGTATTGACAACATTTATGAATACTCTCCTATAACGTCAGGTACGATTGGATTCGGACCAAAACCCAAATAGCATTCAGGTCCAGGTTTTAGACTCGGACCTAATCTTTTAGGTCGAAAATTTGGATCCATATTCAGACTTGAAGTTGGGTCTATGGATCAGGTCCCAGGTCTATTGCTACGCCACGTGACTTAAAAGGTTACTTTCGTATTTACAAGTAAATAAAGGGGTATTTTTCCTACTGTGAATTCGTTCCTCAGATGGTCCCTGCGGATTCCCGCTCCTTTCATTTCGCCACATTTGAAATCCTACTCCCATTTGCCCCCCTAATGGAAAGGGGGATAGAGATATTTTTCAATTCAAATCCAATTTTAGGGAGAGAGAGAGAAACTCAAGAGCATTCCAATCCAACTCTCTGAATCCATTGCAGTTTGGAAGTTTAGTGTGAGAGAGAGATGGCTTCTCCCTTCACCATCCCCCACAATCTTGTGGACCTCGAAGAAGAACCAGAAGATGACCGCCTTTTTGTACGAAACCTCATCCAAACCCAAAACCTAACCCCTTCTGGACTCGATGAACTTGTTAAAGGTATAAACCCAAAACCCAGAAAAGCTGTAATTGAATTCTGAACAATTTATTTGATCTTCTCACTTGTTTCTCTCTCTGAAATTTGCAGGTGTGGTCTTCGATCTTTCGGACAAGGATGTATTTTGTATAGAAGAGCAAGAAGTATTTGATCAAGTGTACTCTCTTGTAAAGGGTTTTGGCCATTTAGAAGCCTCTGCTAGGGCTAATTTGATTGAGAGCTTGCGGTCGAATTTCAGTGTCCTTCTTCCAAATATTGCTTCTCTCTCTAGAACTCCTGTTTCTCCACATGAGGCTCAAGCTGAGGCTGAACCTTCACCACATGAACGAGTTGCCTCACATAGAAATGCCCTTAAGATTTACACATTTTTCCTCCAAACCATCCTTCTTTCTGGAGATTCAGGCAGTGGCAATGCCCCTAAGGTGAGGTTTTATGGATTCTCTGGTAGAGCATTTGGTGGTTTTGATCCTATGTTTTCCTACCTCTTTCAGGTTTCCTTTCGATACAAACTGGCAATAGTTGTGTATTCGTGGAAATTGTTGGGGCTGAACTACTTGATAATTTTCGTGGGCTTACAGGGTCTTTTATTGAATACCACTATATCTGTAAACACTACAGTAACTTCAGTGTTTTGATCCTTTGTATCTGGGAATCTTGGGTATGGTTTTAATTTGGAAATCTTCATGCGGACAATTTCTTCTTGTTTTGTTCTCATTTGTAAGGTTTGATCTTTTGTTTCCTCTGTTCCAGTGCTTTAAAGTACAGAATTGCTCCAGCACTGCGGTGGTGCCCAGTGGCGTCAGTCAGTCAGTCCCGAGTCCTGCCCTAGTTGAAAAAAAAAGGCTCAAAAATCCCAAAAATAGGAAAAAATAAATCGTAAAATTATAAAAAAATGAAAATCTATATAACAAATGAAAATTGATTTTTGATGTGAAATCCCTCATACATATTTTGTTTAGACTTCGGATCTTGTTGATCCGAACTCTTGAAATTTTTGGCCAAACCTGATTTTGATATTTCTATTTGAGAGTTTGAGTTGATTGAGTAAAATATAGGGATTCAATAGAGAACACAAATGGGCCATAGGGACAAAGTTTCATGGTTAATTGAGCTAGAGTTGTGAATACTAAGCAAGAAATCATGGTCGACCAAATCCTAATTCGATATTACATGTCTTACAGATCTGAGATTTCAAATTATTTTTCTTGAATCTATGATTTGGATTTGAAAGAAGATAGAAAAATATGGTTAAGGATGAGTTTTCACGATGCTTGAAGCTCTTAGTGACAAGAACATGCTAAAAAAAAAAAGGGCTGGAATTTCTGCTGCCCTTTTATTTTTTTAAAAACGTGTCAGATTCAGTCAGTCCTAGAGGACTCGCCCAAGTCATGGAGGACTCAGGTGATTTGATCCATAGTAGGACCAACAACAAGTTAGGGCCCATTGGAACTGGGAGGCTGCCTGTTCCAAGTGATTCCAAGTATGAATGGGATTTGGTGAGTTTTAAGACAATCCAGTGTTCTGTTAAGAGGTCAGTATGAAGAAATTGTCAAATTTATTGGTTTGCATAGTTCACGACAATACTCATTTATGCTCCTTGGAGGTTTGGACACTCATTAAGATTTCTGTTTTATGAAATATTAGCAGGCAAATTTTATTTTTGGTCAGGGGTTTAATTTAACTTGTGGTGATTTTCTTTTCACGAATCAAACTCAAGGATTTTTGTTTTGTTATGTGATTTGGACTATGTTCATTATGAAACTCTGAATGTTTTGGTAGCGATGGCAATAATTCCATGGCTTTGGATTTCTCTGGTAACATTTTACAGTTTCTGTTCTTCTTTGCCACATTGGGGCCCCTTGTTTTATCTGAAAACTCTATTTTCTTGGCCATTTGTATTGAAATTCTAGGGAACTCAGTCCAAGAGCAAGAAGCATTCGGTTCAGACATGGAACTGGGAGGTTCATAGGGGAAGGATTACCCATTTGCTTGCTAGTGCCCTTGAAACTGATCTCAAACCTCTCTATGGAATGTCTGATCCAGAGGAAAATTACATATCTTTTGTAGTCAAGTAGGCAATCCCTAAAACTAGTTCTTAAAATTTTCTTCCTTATTCTTCTTTTCTGCCTTTTTAATATTTTTTTTGACTTTCAGGAGTGCTTTCTCCATGTTTGAGAATAACACTTTGTTGAAAGATCCTGAAACGAAAGATGCCCTTTGCCGAATAATCGGCGCTTGTGGAACTAAGTATCATTACACAATGCAAACTGCTGCTTCAATTTTGCATCTGATACACAAGCACGATTATCTCCCTCAACACATGGCCGATTTAGTTGCTTGGGCCGAGAAGAAATACAGGGATGGCAGCTTGGCCCTTGCTCTGATCACTGAAATTGGGCGAATGAATACGAAAGACTTTACAAGAGACACTGCTGGAGCAGACAATGTTGGCCGCTTCCTTGTTGAACTTTCTGATCGATTGCCCAAATTGGTATCGACCAACATAGGGATTTTGGTGCCCCATTTTGGAGGTGAATCTTACAAAATAAGAAATGCCCTTGTTGGGGTCTTTGGAAAGCTTATTGCGAAGGCATTCAAAGATGTTGAAGGTGACTCTGCAGCAAAAGCCCATAGATTACGTGGCAAACAAGCAATGCTTGAAATTCTTCTTGAAAGGTGTCGGGATGTCTCTGCTTATACCAGGAGTCGAGTTCTTCAAGTGTGGGCTGAGCTTTGTGAAGAGCGTGCTGTTTCTATTGGATTATGGAATGAGGTCACAGAGATTGCAGCTGGGAGATTGGAAGATAAGAGTGCATTTGTGAGGAAATCTGCCCTCAACTTGCTCATCACCATGTTACAGTATAACCCATTTGGTCCTCAGCTTCGAACCTCTTCGTTCGAAGGAACCCTCGAGAAATACAAGCAAAAACTTCAAGAGATGGCACCTGCTGAGCATTCTGAGGAGAGTGGGCAAGGGGAGGTCATTGACGAATCCACCGCCCATGAAGATGATGGGGATGTTGATTCAAAATTAAGTAATGGAGGGAATGGTAGTATTAATCAGATTGATTCTCAATCGCAAGACATAGGTGGTGAGAGCTGTTCGTTTTCTGTCCACAATGGAGTTTCAATAGAGGGTCCTCTGGGTATTGCAAATTTGGAACAAACGAGGGCTCTAGTTGCATCTCTTGAGGCTGGTTTGAGATTCGCGAAGTGCTTATCGTCAACGATGCCCACATTGGTACAACTGTTAGCTTCTTCGACTGCCACTGATGTTGAGCACACAATCCTGTTGCTTATGCGCTGCAGACAATTCCAGATAGATGGTGCTGAGGCCTGTCTCCGGAAAATGCTGCCTTTGGTAAATCTAATTGGATTTTTTTTTTTTTTCTCTAAATAGCCTGTCATTCAGTTCATTTGGTACTTGGAATCCATACCTTTTCATTCCTATCATAAACTCATGAAGAACACAGAAGTTGGCTTGCTTCTTAGTCAAGACCAAGTTGATTCTGGTTTAACTGAAGTCATTCATGATATCCAAGTTTTCATTCCATTACTGCAATAGAAAGTGATTGTATGCTGTATTGCATAGTACTCATGTACACGAGTGCCATGTGTGATTAGATAATTATTTGAAAAGTTATGAACTGATTGGCCTGTCAACATATTAATAATGTTAACAACTATGGCAGAGTAGTAAAATAATTCATTTAAAATTTGACTGATGTTGAGAAAACATCTCAAGTCATTGGCTCCATGAAAGTTTTTTGATATTCACAAGAAAAACAATACTAGAATGCCCCTAGCATTTCCTACCAATGACATGGGCTCAGGTCCAAATATCTTGAATCAATGATCAATTGCAAGCTTTTATTATAAGGAATATTGGCCTGAAACCTTAACGAGTAACCTTTTTAACTTAATATTGAAACGTGAATCTATTCTTTCTAAAAATGGACTATGATTGTTCAGATCATAAAATTAGGGCAACAAACATATATCCCCCTCTCTATAATTATAATCTCAAATAAACCCTCGGGTCAATGGAAAGCCCATAGATCGCCTCCACATTAAAAGAGAAAGACATTTAACCCCCTCCTTACCTTTTCATTGTCCAAATTATAACATTTATCCTTTTTCTTTTTTTGAATAACCCCATCATATATGTGTATATATATATTATTTGAATTTTATTTCATTTTCTTTATTTCAGTATTCAGTTAAGGTAAGACTTCTTTTTGTAATGCTTGATCTGTGAAATTCAAATTACAAGGGGATTTTTTTTTCTTTCCTTTAAAACAATAGTTATATGACAAGTAGGTCTTTTTATTGGATAACTGTCCCCTAGCTTGAGGTTTGAACTTTTCATCATGGCACCTCCATTGACTTATGCTTTACTAATGAATGAATAACACATTCACTTCCAAGAAAGAAGATAATATCTTGGATGCTTATCAATGATAGTTATATGTACATTTGCTACCAATGATATTATCTTCCGCTTTCTGGAACCTAAAATGCACATTATACTAACAAAGTCACTGTGACTTGGATGCTTTGTAGGTGTTTTCTCAAGATAAATCTATTTATGATGCCGTTGAAGGGGCATTTATTACAATCTATGTACAAAAAAGTGCAACAGAGGCTGCTGCAAATCTTTTGCATCTTGCTATTGACTCTAACATTGGAGATCTTGCGGCCCTCGAGTTTATTGTGAGTACTTTGGTGGCCAAAGGGGATATCAGTGCATCTGTGGTATGATTTGCTCACACTTTTTGATAAATAATGATTTCTTCAATTGGGCTTTCCATTTACTTTTGTATGGTTAATTGATTTTCTAAGACTTGTACAATGACACTTAATGTCTCCAGAAAAGCTTGAGATTTATCAATTCAAAATAAAATTATAGTTTGATTTAGTGTCATGCTTATGCTCAATCAAATGCCAACCATGCTGACATAATATGCTCTATGCATACATATTCACAATGATTATTGAGATTCTTTTGATCACTATATATTATGAAACTCTCATTTAAGGAGTCAAAATGCCTTCTAAAATCATTAAGGGGGTCAAATGATTCGAATTAACTTGTGAGGTTATTTATTTATTTATTTTCATTTCACTCAAGTATTCCCTCATAAAGTATATTTGAAAATGCTTAAACTACTCTTGTTCAGGGTTGGGATCCCTAAACAAGCAGGGGTATTTCAAGAAGTTGGCATACCTTGAACAAGCATGAGTATTCCCATTATTTAGTTGTGGGGCTCATAGGCGGGTCAAATTACTAAACACCTCTGCTTGCTAAGAATTCTAAACCTTGAGCGAGGGCAATTTGGACATTTTTTAGGATACTTTTTGAAGAGATGCTTAGGTGACATGAAAATTTAAAAGTAAACACTCTAGTTTTAATGGGGATGTTTTAACCTCCTTAATCATTATGTAAGGGGCTATGGCCCCTTAATAATATTTGCCCTCCTACATTCCTTTTTGGTGTGATGAAGTTAGTTTAGCTAAAGAGCTGTATGTATAAACATCTTCATTTGTTGGAAGGATATCTGGATTTGAAATGGTCGTGTACAAACTTGGAGTAAATATTTGCAATTTTTAGAAATGTCAAAGAATGTGTCTAAGAAATCTGGATTCTGTAAGTTTACTTTCCTTCGTCTTTCTAATGATATTGAACACAACTATATAAAGCATGAACATCGATCTTTCTAAAAGTTGACAATTTTATGTTTTTTGCTGTCTTTCTGTAAGCTTGGTGGGACTTTCATGAGAAAAGTAAACTCTTTACCTTTCTTTTGTCACTTCCAAGAAAGAAGATAATATCATTGGTAGCAATACTGGTAAAGTGGTACTTGTTTAGTGGATCATTGGGCATTAGTAGTTAACATGAATTCATAGTATCCTCCATACTACATCTATATATTTAGGTAAAAATGTCTAACTGAAAGAATTGTTCATCCCATCTTGTTGGATGACATCGGCTTCTTATTTCATTGTTGTCCCATTCTATGCAGATATCTGCGTTGTGGGATTTCTTTTGTTTCAATGTCAGTGGAGTGACCGCAGAGCAAAGCCGTGGAGCTCTATCGGTTCTTTGCATGGCAGCAAAGACATCAACAAAGATTCTCGGCTCTCATTTGCAAGACATCATTGATATTGGTTTTGGACGTTGGGCCAAGGTGGAACCTTTACTGGCTAGAACTACATGCATTGCCCTAGAACGATTGCCTGATGAAGATAAACAAAAACTAGTGTCCAGTTGTGGCAATGGCAGCAGGGTGTTTAGTATTTTGCAAACCTTAATTAATGGTTATTGGCTCCCAGATCATATCTGGTATTCTGCTGTAGAGAAGGCCATAAGTACTATATACATAGTTCACCCCACTCCTGAAGTCTTAGCTGCGGAGGTGGTGAGGCAAGTGCAAAATGCTTTATTTGGCTGCATTGCAGGAGAAAAAGAATCATCTGATTTGGATGGTGATGGAGCCAATGGTGGGAACTTCATTTCCGCAGTGCAAGTATCGACGCTTAGCAGATATTTCTTTGTTGTGGGTCATGTGGCCTTGAATCACTTGGTTTATATTGAGACCTGTGTTAAAAAGATCCAGAAGCAGAAAACAAAGAAAGAGAGATCTCTTCCTGAGGATGTGCAGAGTGGTGGTATGGGAGCACCTCTTCAGGTGAAAGAAGATAGGAAATAATACTTATTGAATTATTTACTTTTCACAAGCTGTTGAATATTTTGACCATTACATAATTTTTTTCCAGGTGTAAGTAGATAGGAAATAATACTTATTGAATTATTTACCTTTCACAAGCTGTTGAATATTTTAACCATTACATAATTTTTTTCCTATCCTACATGTTACCTTTTTAGATATTTGGGTTCCAGTAAAGTATACTATCATAGGATCATCCTATGTATTTTGGAGAAACCATTCCCCATCAGGTCATTGCAGTCCTTTGAAATGATGGACAACATTCAAGAGAGAGAGTAGAACTCACCAGAACAAGACACGACCCCAGTAGTCAGTCTCACTCTATCAGCATCCATCATAACAATGGACATTGGTGATCCAATGGGCCGTTTTGTTTCATTGTCCACTGGATTATAAGATACTTTCCCTTTAGTTCCTATTTGCAACTATGCAAATGTTTGGGTTAATTTTCTGATTGAGCCAAGGTTTCTGATTTGGTTGTTGTCCTGTTGCACCATCATTTATCTCTCTGCTTGATTCCCTATGTGCTATAAATGAAGATAATTTTTTTTTTTTTGATAGAGGAAATAAAAGAATATAATTCTACATCCTATTTAGTTTTTCTTTGATAGGCTATAAAAAAAAAAATATTCTACATCCTATGAGTTGGCCCCTATTAGTTTACATTCTTGTTGTCTTCCATACCCTGTGGCTGACTCTTATCTAAACAATTTTTCTAGGTTGCTGCTCAGGATAATAATATTAATGCTGAATTGGGCATCAATGCTTCGGATGATGCAAAGCTTGATTCACTATCAGAAAAAGCAGAGAAAGAAATTGTGTCAGGAAACAATGCTGGAAAGAATTTAATCGGACTCTGTGCACCGGTCTTAACAAAGCTTTGTAGAAATTTTAGTCTTGTGCAAAAGGTATCCAGATGCATTCAACTGTGCAGTTTATTTCTTGTATACATCTTTATGGTTCGATAATTTAGCTGTTGATCTTGTTATTCAGCTGGTTTGATAAATTTGTGTCATATCCTTCTAGAACTTCAAGAGCCTTAACATGCTTTCTTATCCTCTGAAGTTTCCAGAATTGCATGCTTCAGGAATGCTCGGACTTTGTAAGCTAATGGTCATTGATGCCAACTTCTGGTACGTCATTGGTCTTTGTTACTGACAGAAATTTTGTGGTTAACAAGTTAAATTGTGTTTAACTTCTAAAGACCTATCAGTGAAGCAAATCTTCAGCTTCTGTTCACGGTTGCTGAGAGTGCGCCAACTGAAGCGGTTCGCTCCAACTGCACAATAGCCCTTGGCGATTTGGCTGTTCGTTTCCCTAACCTTTTGGAGCCATGGACTGAGAAAATGTATGGAAGACTGCGTGATCCTATTGTCTCCGTTCGTAAGAATGCTGTTTTGGTTCTTTCCCATCTGATATTGAATGACATGATGAAGGTTCAGAGCTGGCTGCTTCTTTTCATTCCTTTTCTACATTCAGTAATTTTAAGTCTCATTTAATAGTGTTTTTATTTTGTTTCTAATTTGAGGGATCTAACCAGGTAAAAGGTTACATTAATGAAATGGCGCTATGCTTGGAAGATATGGATGAGAGAATTGCAAACCTTGCCAAATTATTTTTTAATGAGTTGTCGAAAAAGGGTAAGTTGCCAATCTTCAGTTCTCTCTCCATATAATGGATGATGACATTTGGAATGTACCTTTCAAATGTTCTTTTGTTCATGTAGGGAGCAACCCCATTTATAATCTACTACCAGATATTCTCAGTAGATTGTCCAATGACAACCTTGAGGAACAAACTTTCTGCAACATTATGCAGTATTTAATTGGTTTGATAAAGAAGGTATATATTCGTATTGCTTCTTTTGCCAGTAGAATCATATCTGTCTCCTTAATAAAACCTGCCCGCACTGTTTTGTGATCAGGATAAACAAATGGAAGGTCTTGTTGAGAAGCTTTGCAATAGGTTTTGTGGTGTCACTGGTATGTGTGTTATTTGGAACTTGGAGAACTGACCTTTTGTTATGTACCTGTTCTTAAGCAAATTTCGAGTTGAAATTTCTTTTGAGTTCTAATATTATTTTATTGTTATTATTTTTCTTCTTTTGGGATCTTGATTTCATAGTTTGGTCTTGTTTTGTTGATAAAAATCCTTTCTTATGGTGGTTTATGTATTGGAAGTTGTTGCTTCCTAATCGAAACCAGGCTAATTGTTGTTGTTATGGCTAGTTTTATAAAACCGGATAAGCAACCTGTCTGATCAAGTCAACAGATCCCTACTGGTTTACTGATTTTTTTTTATATAAACTGGTAAAATACATAGCATTTGGTTCTAGGCAGGGACCTAAATCTTTGCAATGGAAGGAATGCATGAATCTGTTCTGATTTGTGAGAAATGGCTGATCAGATCATATTTCATTAGGTCCTCATTTCTTTTCTTATGATCATTCTTATCCACTTTGCTTTGCTTCAACCGAAGGCAAATCCGATCTCATATGGTATTTATAAACTATTGGCAACATTTTCAAAACATCACACATATTTTAAAAATAAGGTTTTTTTAGAAATTTGCCTATAGTTATTAATTTATTGTTCAGAACTAATACCTGATGTCTTACCCCCACATCAACCAAAATGCTTCTTTCCCTGGCCCAAACAATGTGGCTCCGAAGTGAAATTTTTAACGATGCTCGATATATAATTAATCCTTTCTTGATTGATCCAATACTGTTAAATATTGGTCTTATACCCACTACTTTGTAATAACTGATTCATCATCATCATTAGAGCTGTTTTCCAACAATTTGGGGTTGGCTACACAAATTCTGGTTTGTCATTTTGCTTTATCAAGGGTCATACTCTCAGTGAAGCTATGAGTCCCTATATCTTTTCTTACTACTTCCAATCATGTCCACTTTGTAATAACTGAGTGAATCATTTTTAATTTTTCATAGCCTCCTTTCTGTATGTTCCTTGTGTCCACTATTCATGATTAATACTTTTGAGACTAATAAATTCATGTTTGTTATTTTTAACCTCTTCTTCATGACGTCCTTATGCCAATTACTTCAGATGATCCTTTAAGACTTATTTAATCATGTTAATTATCTTTAACCCATTTATTGAGGTCTCTATGGTCAGTGCTTAGGATTAATTCTTTGAGACTGGTTGCAATGCCAATTATTTTTAACTTGTGTGATGTCTTCAACTTAGATTTGGTGTACTATTTATCACATGTTGAAATATTCTTTAAGTTTTTATTGCCTCGTAAAGTAACGAAGAAAGATGTGCCTTGTAACATTCTAAAGGAAGTGCATATATCTGTTTTTTTATTTCTGTGGTACCTAAATAAGTTGGATGAAATGAATATGGTAACTCAATGCTACAATATGTTCAAAATTTCATCTCAATACTACAACCTACCATTTCATTTTTATTATTTAAATTTATTGCTGCAATAAACAGTAACATGATAGAAACATTGCATGAGGTCAATATGAAACTATGATTAAAAGGATTCAGAATCCTACAATGTCAAACGTAAATCCTGAGACTCCATTCCAAGCCAAGGAATCAACAAGTTTGTTTGTTTCCTAGTAAACATGCTGAAATGAGATTTCATGAGCTCTAACAATCTTGACATTATCCTCTTTAAAGATCTATGTGCCTCTATGATCTGGTGGACACCCTAGTGGCCTATTAATTCATGTTTGATGGATAGAGGGCCAAAGAAGGATTGTCCAAAAATAAAAGGGCAATATATAAGAATCCGAGCTCTGTTTTTTGGAGAATATGTGGTATTAAAGGGAGCTAAGAAAGCTTTCTGAACAACTCCCATATCTACTTTGGACAAATGCTCTGACTCCCTCCAGGCCAGATTATGTGGGAACATATACCGTAATAAGCTCAGAATTCCAAAAGTTGGGTATGGGATGTGTTTGAAGTTGTGACCTCCCATTTGAGAATCATATCTCCAACAATTAATTTCTTTCTTAAATTGTTATATCACTTCCACAGGATTCGAGCATTGAAATCATAACATAGGTGACCTTGTGATATTATTTGAGTTTCCTCATATCACTCATAATGGGGGGAGGGGGGGGTGTGTTCCAAACTTTGAGAGAAGCCTTTAGCACTTCCAAAGTTGTTTTATTACTTGGTGAACTGAACATTGTTGAGGGTTTATTACCTGGTGAACTGAACATTGTTGAGGTACCTATGGGCTTGGGGGGATCAGCCTATGTAGCATAGTAGGTTCCAGAAACAACTATTCTTTTCTGGACTTTTGGGCACCATTTCCCTGATATATTGTTGGGAATTCATATTGCCTGTTAATTCTATTTAAATGATATGAGTACTTGTTTGCTTCCTAGTGAACATGCCGAAATGAGATTTCATGAGCTCTAACAATCTTGACGTTATCCTCTTTAAAGATCTATGTGCCTCTATGATCTGGTGGACACCCTAATGGCCCATTAGTTGATGTTTGACTGTTAGAGGGCCAAAGAAGGATTGTCCAAAAATAAGAGGGCCATATATAAGAATCCTAGCTCTGTTTTTTGGAGAATATGTGGTACCAATTGGAGCTGAGAAAGCTTTCTGAAGAACTCCCATATCTACTTTGGTCAAATGCTCTGACTCCCACCAGGCCAGATTATGTGGGAGCAGTTACTGTAATAAGCTTAGAATTCCAAGAGTTGGTATGAGATGTGTTCGAAGTTGTGACCTCCCATTTGAGAATCCTATCTCCAACAATTAATTTCTTGCTTAAATTGTTATATTACTTCTGCAAGATTTGAGCACTGGAATCAGAACATTGGTGACCTTGTGATATTATTTGAGTTTCGTCATATCACTCATAATGGGGGAGGGGGAGTGTTTCTAAAATTACGGAGAAGACACCTTTAGCACCTCCCAATTGTTTATTACCTGGTGAACTGAACATTGTTGAGGTACATATGGGCTTGGGGGATCAGCCTATGTAGCACAGTAGGTTCCTGAAACATCTACTCTTTTTTGGACTTTTGGGTCTCCATTTCCTTGATATATTGTTGGGAATTCCTATTGCCTGTTAATTCTATTTAAATGATATGAGTACCAATCACTCAACAAGATTAACTTGTCAATCACAATTAGGGTAAACTCTATCAGTTTTATCTCAAATTTCTAACCTGTTTTATTTTGATTGCTATCAGTGTTACCTTGTGACCTTTTTATCTCTTTGCACTGGTATCAGATGCATATTTTGATACTTCTATACACTTCTTATTTATACTTTTTGTTTCTTTGTTTTGTTTTGTGAAAACTTTCTGTGCTCATTCTATTAATTAAATCTTTTTATGTCCAAATATTTTTTACATTGATATAATTAGATCTATTTTAGATTTTGATTTAAGTATTGCATGTACTTGTCTTTTTCTTTATTTTGTTTTAAGCATGTTCTAGTTCAAATTTTCTCATGCTGCCGTCGTATTTCCTTGTTCCTTGATAGACATCCAGTCATGTCAATCATGGTTCACAGCAGGTCCCATGCTGTTAGATGATGCTCTTTCTTAATTTTACTTAAAGTAACAGACATAATCTGATTATCGTTCATGTGAAGCCTATTTCTTGTCCTTGATTTTTTTTTGGAATGGGTTCTCACATATGTAATTCAGACTTTAAGATTTATGACTGAATTCAAGCTTATGACTTTAGGAATTATTTTCTGCATTTTGCTTGTGTATAGAAATCTTTAATCACTCTGGACACCTCACTCTTATAATTGCAGATATAAAACAGTGGGAGGGTATTGCCTACTGTCTTTCTCAGTTAGCATTTACTGAAAAGGGAATGAAGAAGCTTATAGAGTCTTTTAAAAGCTATGAACATGCCCTGTCAGAGGATTCGGTGGTGGAACACTTTAGGAACATCATTAGCAAGGTATTTAGGGGCTTGTGTGTCATTTAGTTCATTTTCCTTCTTTATGGTCGACTGAGATTGACATTCACTTTGTCTCATTAGGCTAAAAAGTTTTCAAAGCCAGAGCTTAGATCTTGTATTGAAGAATTTGAGGAGAAGCTCAACATGTTCCATATGGAGAAGAAAGAGCAAGAGATGACCACAAAGAATGCCTTGTTTCACCAACAGAAATTGGAAAAATTCGGAAACCACACTGCAAGGAGTGAGGGCTTCCAGGGAGAGGAGGAAGAAGAGAATGCTTCAAGGGGTACTTCAAGTGACCTGAATCCATTCTGTGGTTACTTTTATGATGGTCGCTTGCATTATTCTGCAAGTTTACTCGATTTGCTTTCTTGAAGTTATTTAGCTTACTTTTTGCAGCTGTTAGGACTGAAGAACAACCCATAGAACTGGCTGAAGTATTGTTTATTTGTGCGATACTACAGTTACTGATTATGCAAAGCCATAATCCATTGTGGTCATCACCATCCAATGAATGAACTTTGGTAGAGAGAGGGGACCACTATTGCAGTCATGTTCTACTCTGGTGGGCCCCACTTTCTTTTATCACTGCCACTCTTTTCAATGGATGGTGATGATCCAAACGGACCATAAATATGCCTATATTTCCCTTTGTTCATAGGTTTTTTCTTTTTATTTATTTATCTTTTTTTTTTGTTCGTGTTCTAGTTGTGCAAACTGAGATAATGCCATGGTTCAATAGGATCTTTTTGACTATTGAGTGGTTACTAGGAAATCTTCAATTTTTTTTTTCTTTTTTCTTTTTTTTTGGACGGGGGGGGGGGGGGGGACGTAAGTTCATAAGATACTCAGAACAATGTATTAAAACCTGGTATTGGGTTCTGGATGGCCTAACCATTGTACTGATCTGGATCAGCTGCATTGGTAAAAGAAATTGTTTAAAAGAGTGTTTAAAAAAAAGAAAACGGGGATTGGGGGGAAGAGGGAGGGACCTGGATTGTGTACCCACCAAATCCGATCCGGATCGACGGATCCCACTCCAGATGGCTGGGAATATTTCTGATTTTGTGAACAGGTAAAAGAAGTTTCCGAACTGAATTCCCGAATACCATGTGTTTTATGGAAAATAGTTAGGTCTCAAACATGCTGCAAAAACCATTATTTTTTTGTTTCCTTTTTAAATAGCCTAAACTAGTTTGTTGGCATAGTTTGATAGTGTTGTAAAAGCTTCTTACTGTAGGTTCTATTTGTTAAGTTCTATTTACATTTTATGCATCTGTTTTCTCATTACATAATAGTTCTATAACTGGCATAACTTGTGAAAGGAACTGGTGAAGTCATTGACCCCCATGAAGAGATGATTCCAAGCATTCGAAAATCAGAAGTAGGCAACAAGGAATTGGAAGAAAGCTCAAATATTTCAAGTGAGATGGAATGTTCAGAAACTGGAAACCTCGAGTTTCAATCACCACAAGTTTCTCAGAGAAGTAATTGAGAATATTTTACTTTAAATATATGATTTTAAAGCTGGAATTTGGTTGTTCTTAATGGAATGACTATTTCTGCAGGACCCTCCAAAACAAAGAGAAATGTAGGGATGGGTATGCAAGAGAAAGAGAAGGCTCGTAGCTCTACTATACGCAGGACCAAATCCACTAAAGGGTTGGTTGATTTTGTTTTCATACTATTGGTGTACGTTCCAATGAGGGGTGTGGAAAGTTTTTTAGGAAGAGACTGGCGGGGGGAGGTTCTTAATAATTTTCTTTGTTTAAATATTCTCTTCAAAAGTATATCCTTCTCTCATATATGGCCTGAAGACTAGGGTATTCTTATTGTTCAGATAGCTTTGGTTGGCAACATTCTTGAGGGAACTTTGCTTTTGCAGAGGATGAAGAGGAAGAAATATCTGTTTTGTATCATCAGCATGCAAGTTGTATTATAAATTGTAAACAAAAGCATTACCACTTCGGTAGTGCTTGAGGAATATGGATAACATCCTCGATCATCTTAGTTCTCTTACTGTCCAACTGGTAAATTATATGTGCATTTAGTCTCTATACGAATTAGTTAAGCTCGTTTTGCCGAAAATCAACTCAGAATAACATAATGCTTTCGAGGCTGCACATAACATTTGAGTAGGGTAGATGTTTAACATGAAAAATCATAGCGCAATGGTTGATGGAACGTAGGTTGCATTATACCAGATTCCAAAAGTTCCAAGGTGCTTGATGACTGCTGTAAGACTCTCAAATCATTGTAAAAATTGATACAAACATGCCCGTATTATCTGATAAATATTCAATAATGGATTTATTCTTGCGCTTTTTGCAAACCTTTGTTTGCACACTCATCTATTTGATTGACTAATAAAAAAATGTATTTGGTGCTATCCATTGCTTCTTCCCCTCTTGCACCCCTCAGCTCTACACAATGTTTGATCTGTGGAGTAGTTTATTGGGAGACTCAAAATTTGGGACGAAGCACAAATTCTAGGAACACCCATAACGTTAATAAATGACACCAATGGTCTAAATCAATGGTTTAAAAAACGGATCGGTGACTTGGATCGGGCACCCAAAAAACCGATTCGGATCGGTGAATCGGCGATCCGGATCTGGAATCGGGTGAATCAGTTTGAATAAAGCTTCAAAAAAATCCGCAAAAAATTATTAAAATTCATTATAAATATTGTTTTTTAGGAATTCAATAAGAAATGAGGATACTCCATTAAGAATTTTCATGTTTTGAATGAATATGCGAATATTGATATGTTCTTTCCCTGCATGAACCGTCATTCAACATTTAATTTACATCACACAAAAGGATAAACATAGAATTATCATGGAATAAGTATATCAACATACATGGACTACAATAAAGCATAAAATTAGTAACATACGATCTAAAAACAAAATGATAGATGACGTTGTTGTTCTTCTTGGTCACGCTGGTGCCATTGATTGAATTCGTTTGACAATTCATTGATTCGATCTAAAAACGAATCATCGATATTAGCAGGCGTTTGACTATTCCCAAATCCCTGAGTGTTAGTGTTTTGTTGTATTTCCAATCCAAAATCCCCGAAGCTTGTCCATTCTTCATGCTCACTTGCATTGTCGTGCTCATCCCTACACTGTTGCTGTTGGGACTCGATATGTAAATAATATGGCTGGGATAGGGTGGCTTCAGAATCATCATCTTTCTCATTTTCTCTTAGACCCCCTTCCCACTCTCTTTAATTAGGTGCAATATCATCGACATCTCCGACGAATTGTAGATACGTTGGCTGGCTGCTTCCTCTTTCATGCTGCTCATCACTTTCTTTAAGATCTTCATCATCGATAGCCTCAAGGAACGCTCTTTTGTGCAACACTGGCTCCTCCTCTTCTACTACCCATT